CCAAGAACCTACAACCAAGATTACTTTATCCAGCAATGCTATCATTCAGAAGTGAGAGGCAGATAAAGAGCTTCACAGATAAGGAAAAGCTAAAGGATTTCATCACCACCAAACCAGTATTATATGAAATGCTGAAGAATATTCTTTAAGAAGACGAAGAAGAAGAAAAAGGTAAAGATAAAAATTATCAACAACAAAGTGACAACAAATAAATATCTATCAACAAGTGAACCTAAAAATTAAGTCAGAGTAAACTGGTGAATATAATAGAAGCAGGGGCATAGAAAGGGAGTGAACTGACAATTCTTGGGGGGAAGGTGGAAAGGGGGATGTGGGAAAAGACTGGACAAAAATCTTACACCTATGGATGAGGACAGTGGCAGGGGGTAAGGGCATGGGGTGAGGTGGGAACCAGGTGGAGGGGAGCTATGGGGGGAAAAAAGAGGAACATCTGTAATAATCTGAACAATAAAGATTTATTAATTTAAAAAAACGTACAATGGAAGTAACAATGGAGGGAAGAATTGCATAATGGATCATAGATTGGTACCTCAAATTTGATATGCACTAATTAAGCATTAATAGAAACTCATAGAGAAACTTTTAAAATAGTAGTTAAAAAGTAACAACAAGCACTTTTGAAGGATGCAAGAGAGCTAATATTTTGGACACTGGAAAATAAAGTGAAAGAATCAAGTATTTATCCTATCTTTTCCTTAAAAATTGTACCTCAAGGAAACCAAACTGCTGATCCTGAAAAGTTTTTGAAGACATTAACAAATGAATCCGAAGGAAATTGACATTTTGCCACCTCATGAATTAAGAGATTTAGGCAATGATCATCAAAGGCTCTTCATATCACAGAAAGTGAGACAGCAGTCATTAGGTACCTTCTAATAGAAGGACACAATATCACCCATGAGGAATTTCAACCAAAAAATTGAATCTAATCTAGATTTTACATCAAATGCAGGGAACACATTAAATTACACCACAGGGATCCAAATGGCAAAAGCCAGGTTAATAACTCTAAAAGATAAAAACAAACAAACAATTTCTTCAACAAACAACATAAAAAGAACAAATATAATAAAGACAAGGAGGGAGAACCTAAGACAAAAAGAGAGGATGGAGGTGGAGGAGGAGTTATAGATTAAAAGAGACTTTAAAGACATATCAACCAAATAGAATACATGTACCTTATTTGATCCCAATTCAAATAACACAATTTCAAAACTACCCATGAGATAATTTGAGGGGAATTTAAACACTAAGTGTTAATTTTTTTATTTTTTTAATGTATCTTTATTGTTGAAAGTCTTACAGATGTCCCCCCTTTTTTTCCCATTGCCCCCCCAACCCCTGCACTGAATGTTAATTGTTTTAGATATGATAATAGAATTGTGATTATGTTGATTTCTAAAGAGTCCCTGAGTAGTAGAGATACATTCGGAAATATACATTAATAAAATTAGATAATCTCCGATTTGCTCCAAAATAATATGGCAGATCCCACTTCTGGTAATGGCTGCATAAGGAAGTTGGCCAATTTCCCTCCACAGGTAGCAAGTTTATTATTAAAAATTATTAAAATCAGCCCTAGCTGGTTTGGCTTAGTGGATAGAGTGCTGGCCTACAGACTGGAGGGGCCTGGGTTTGATTCCAGTCAAGGGCACATGCTCGGGTTGCTGGCTTGATCCCCAGTAGGGTGTATGCAGGAGGCAACTGATTAATGATTCTCTCTCATCATTGATGTTTCTATCTCTATCCCTGCCTCTCTGAAATAAAAAATATATATTAACATTTTTTTTCAATCAAACATTTCAGAGCCCTAGAAAGTGACCAGATGTGGGTAAATACTTAAGAAGTGTCTTTTCATGAAAAACTGCTGCTAAATCTGGTAAGAACGGCAACTTTATGGCATTCTTGTTTGGAGAGCATTGCTATCTATCCAGCTCAAGTAATGAAAACTTGCAGATTCCATTTGAGTTGAGTGGCAATGCTGCTAAAAATTTAAGGGGGAGATTCTGGAGGCAAGACAGTTATAGAAGAATTAAAATAATAAACTCTATAGACATCCCTGATTAATTGATAAACTATACATTCACACAGGAGATCCAGTACGCCTAGCAAAAATTAAAAACCTGGAGGAGATTGTGAATGTTCTGTTCTTTGGAAGAACATCCTCAACCCACACACAGCTTATGCAGCCATGGTAAAAGCGTTGCTGGTTTAACTTGTCTGAAGATAAACTCTACCCATGTTATTGGTTGACTGTCATGCCAGTACGGAGAGGAACTTCAGAGAGCCAGACTTAAAAACAAACAAACATTAGCAGAGACTTCAAAGGCTGCCTATTGTGAAGAGAGATTTCATAGCTTGCATCCAGGGAAAGTAACTGCCTACTAAAACAAAGAGCAACCACCCTCAGAACAAAACAGAGTCTACAACATACTCTATACAATGTCAGGTTTTCATTGAAAAATTACTAGACTTGCAAAGAAATAGGAAAGTGTTACATTGTTGTAAGGAAAAAAACAGAATTGTTCTAAGCATATTGAATTTAACAATTAGATTTCAAAGCAGCTATTATAAACATATCAAAATAATTAAAGGAAATATAGGGAATCTAAATAGAAAAGGAGAAACCATTAAAAAGAACCAAATAAAAACTGAGTTGGAAGTTCAATAATTGAAATAAAAATGTCACTAGATGTGTTCAATATCAGAATCAGTGAATTTGAAGGTAGACCAATAAAAATTGTCCCATCTGTACAACAGAAAGAAAAAGATTGATGAAAAATGAACAGAACTTCAGAGATCTGTGGTATAATATCAAATGTCTCTTTATATGTGAAAATTGGACCCCTGGGGGAAAATGATAAAGAGAAAGGCAGAAAAAATATTTGAAGAAATAATGGTCAAAAACCTCCCACATTTGGTGATATAACAGGCACATCCAAGAAGTATCACAAACTCCAAAAAGAATAAACACGAGAAAAACACATCACAGTAAATATTCTGAGAGTCAAAAATAAAGAGAAAAATATTAAAATCAAGAGAATAACAACACATCATATATATAGGGACCAACAATATATTTAATAGCAGATTTCTAATCATAAACAATGAAGGCTAGAAGACACTGAAACAACATATTCAAAATGGAAAAATATGACATCCCATAATTTTATATCCAAGGAAATGAAGGTAATATAAAGACATTATTTAAAAAAAACAAAAACCAACTGGCCCTGATCACTGTGGCTCAGTTGGTTGGAGCACTATCCTGTACACCAAAAGGGGGCGGGTTTGATTCCAGATCAGGGTGCATACTCAGGATGCAGATTTGATCCCCAGTTGGGGAGTGTGTAGGAGGCAATTGATCAATGTTTTTTTCTTTCTCTTTTCCTCTCATTCTCCCCCGCCCCACACACACACACTTCTCTCTAAAAATCAATAAAAAAAGAAAATCAAACTGAAGAATTTATTGCTAGCCCATCTGTACTGTAAAACATACTATAGAAAGTCTTCAGGCTGAATAGAAATGGCTAATCCTATATAATAAAAGGGAATATGCAAATTGACCCTAATGGCAGAACAACTGGTCGCTATGATATGCATTGACCACCAGGAGCAGATGCTCAATGCAGGAGCTGCCCCCTGGTGGTCAGTGTTCTCCCATAGGGGGAGCTCCACTCAGCCACAAGCCGGGCTGACAGCTGGGAGAGCAGCAGTGGTGGCAGGAGCCTCTCCTGCCTCCTCTGCAGTGCTAAGGATGTCTAACTTTGGCTTAGCCAAAATCGGACATCCCCTGAGGTCTCCCGGGCTCCATCATGTCAATCAATGATTCTCTCTCAGCATCAATGTTTCTCTCTCTCCCTCTCTCTTCCTATCTGAAATCAATGAGAAAAAAAATATATATATATTATTATGTGTGTGTGTGTGTGTGTGTGTGTTTTTAACCCAACAACAACAAACCCAGAAAACAATTTGTTGGAATTTGGAGAAATTGGAACCCTTGAACATTACTGGTGGGAATGTAGAAAGGTACAGCTGCTATAGAAAACAGTACAATGGTTCTAAAAATAAACTAAATATAGAATTACCATGTAACCCAGCAATTCCACTTCTGGGTATGTAAACAAAAGAACTGAAAGAAGAAACTCAAACAGATATTTGTATACCAATGTGCACAGAAGCATTCTTTGCAATAGCCAAAAGATGGAAACAACCCAAATCTATTGATGGATATATGGATAAACAAAATGCAATATACATGTACAATGGAATGTTATTCAGCCTTAATAAGAATGAAAATGATGCCCTAACCGGTTTGGCTCAGTGGATAGAGCGTCGGCCTGCGGACTCAAGGGTCCCAGGTTTGATTCCGGTCAAGGGCATGTACCTTGGTTGTGGGCACATCCCCAGTGGGGAGTGTGCAGGAGGCAGCTGATTGGTGTTTCTCTCTCATCGATGTTTCTGACTCTCTATCCGTCTCCCTTCCTCTCTGTAAAAAAATCAATAAAATATATTTTTTAAAAAAAGAATGAAACTGAGCCATAGCTAGTTTAGCTCAGTGGATAGAGCTTTGGCCTGTGGACCAAAAGGTCCCGGGTTTGTAGGCACCTCCCTGGCCCAGGCCTAGGAGGCAACCAATCGTGTTTCTCTCACATCGATATTTTTCTCTGTCTTCTTTCCCTCTCTCTTCCACTTTCCCTAAAAATCAATGGAAAAATATCCTTTGGTGAGGATTAACCAATACAAAACAAAACAAAAGAATGAAACTGACATATGTGGCAACATGAATGAACCTTGAAGATGTTATGCTAAGTGAGATAAGATACCAAAAGGACAAATATTGTATGATTGCACTAATATAAGGTACCTGGAATAATCATATTAATGGAAACAGAAAATAGAACAGTGGTTACCAGAGGCTGGAAGGGAGAATAGAGAGTTCTGTTTAATGGATAAAACGGTAAATTTTATATTATATATATTTTACCACATTAAAAAACAAGTTAAAACTCAACAATAAGAAATCAAACAACCCAATCAAATAATTAACAAAAGATTTGAATAAACACTTCACAAAAGAAGGCACACATATAGTTAAGAAGAACATGAAAAGATGTTCAATATTTTTAGTCATTAAGGAAATGCATAATAACACCATGAAATATCACTACACTATAATAATCTAAATCAAAGGATAGTACTAAGTGATAGTGAGGATATGGAGCAAGTTGTCTTCATATATGTTGTTGGTAGGAATGGAATATGGTACAGCCATTTTGTAAGACAGTTTTTAGTTACAAATGATTGCATGCCAGGTCCTTCATACATGTTCTAAAGTTTCTGGTACTCACTTTAGATGTGGAACCTGTAAGATCCCAATCAATATAATTTCTGAGTAACTAGAGGCCCAGTGCACAAATTTGTGCACATTGAAAGGAAATTAATTAGAAGGTGGCCAGCGGGGCAGGACTGGGCTAGATGGGCCAGACACGCCCTGGAGCCAACCTCCCACCATCTCTCCCTGGCCGGCTGCACCTGGGGTGGCACCGGGTCTTGAAGGGTGCTGGCAGAATAAGCAGGGTGCCTCCAGCAGGTGGGGTCCCTCAGCCTAGCCTGTGGGGATTGGGTCGAAACCGGCAGTCCAACATCCCCCCACCCCCCGCCCCAGAAGTCTCATAGTTGCAAGAGGGCACTCTGCAAACTTGCTGTCGCTCAGCACCTCCTGTGTTGAGCGTCTGCCCCCTGGTGGTCAGTGCGCATCATACCTACCAGCTGGTTGGCCAATTGGCCAGTTGCTTAGTCTGTTATATATATACTAGAGAGGGTTGGGGCGCCGCACCCAGTCACACACAGAGCAGGGCTGATTGGGGAGGTTATGGCTCTACCCCCGCACACACAGAGCAGGT